TTACGGTTAATGCTGCATTTAGAGCACACATAACCTAACAAATAAAGAAAAAAGATTAAATTTAAAAAGAACTCATCTTTGGCATTCGTTATTCCATGTTTAACATTAAAATGAAAAGAGAATACAGAAAAAAATCTAAAGCTGATTCTCTCTACACACAAATGTCAAAGAGTACTGAAAAATTCAAACTTGTTTTTTTTATATTTGTCTTAATTATCATTACAAACAACAGGAAGTGAAGTTCAACTTCTGTATCTGAGGTTTAGAAGGTAAAAAGTGTGACCAGATTCTGAGATAAAAACGATTCATTCTTCTCTGCTTTGACAGTTTTTGAACAATATTTTTCAAAAGTTTTTAAGAAAAAAGTTACATTTGTTTTATTTTATTAAATGCATTTAAAAATTTATCAGTAAAACACTTTAGTTAAAATATTTAAAGTTTTACATTTTTTATTTTTACATAATGAAAAAATAACACAAATCCATAAGCAGGTCAGATGATCTGTGCTGGTATGTCTGTCCACAGATTGACAGGCAGATTTATGTAAGTTTTTTGTGTGATTCTCTTACAGACAGTGTTGCTTCACATTGTTTTCCTTCGGGGAGGGGGGGAGAGTTTGGCGATTTTCTCTTTAAGAATCCTGCATCTTTCACTGACCTCGCCCATTTTCCAGTTATTATTTTTGCTGCATTTTCTTTATTTTTATTTTATTTTATACATAGTTTCCATCCCATTCTGCATAAATCAGATTCATTTTCTTGCGCAGTGTTTAGATATTTATTTTTAACACGGTGGCTGCGGTGTGCAGGACACGCTGCTGCGCGTAACAGCTGACACTGCGTCTTTACGCATTCCTCTCCTGTCTTTACGCATTCCTCTCTTCTCTCCTCATCCTTTTGCACAGACGGCATAGAGACAGAAATAAGGAGACATTATCAAACGGTGGTAAATTTCAGCCATTAAACAATGTTTGTCGATTGTTTCCCCTTCTTTTTGACTTTTCATAATTTAATCAATCAAATGCGGGTCTTTGTTTCAATTTGCGGGACGTCGGGGCAAGAATGAAAAATGCGGGACAGTCCCGTACAGTTTGCCTGGGGATAATTTACCTGCTGGTTAACTGAACTCTGTTGTGGAGGAGAGGAGAAGAGAGGAGCTGCTTCAGCAACACCCCTCCTGTCTGAAGGCGCAGCGCGTTCACTGAGCGACAGCGCACCGTGCTGCAGGCGCGCACGTGCGGTGAAGGGAGGGTGTGAGGGAAATATTAGTAATAATCCATCCATACATCCATTTTCTGTACACGCTTCTTCCTTTTCAGGGTTGCGTGGGTCACTGGTGCCCATATCCAGCAGTCACAGTGCGAGGGGCGGGGTACACCCTGGACAGGTCGCAAGTCCATCACAGGGCCACACATAGAGACAAACGAGACAAACAAGCATTCACTCTCTCACTCACACCTAGGGACAATTTAGAGTCTATTATTAATAATATTAAAAGTATTACTATTACTGTACAGCTAAATAAACTGCTCAAGGGTTTTGTAAAAAAAATTGGTCATGAGTTGGTAAAAATTGAATAACTGAAGTATTTTACTTGTCTTTGCTGCACGTCCTGCTCATAAACAAATCAATAAGCTGTGTAAACACGCAGTATTTATTCAGGAGCAGTGGATGGCGTGACCGCTGTACATGTCAACTTGTCYGGGTTAAGTTACAAGGATTTTACGTCATTTTGCAGGTATACAGACGTGTAGAGCAATGGATATTTTCAAGTCTTACGGATTTTTTCAAAACCTCATTTCCAAATTTATCTAACATGTCAGAACCTGTGGGGTTATTTATAAAACAATAAATAACATCAAACAGCCATCTTCCAACCTGTTCTGCCGCTAGAAATAAATTTTCAACTTTTTCAGCTCTCCTCTCCTCCTGCTTTGCAGCAGGCGCTTTTATGAC